CCGTGCGTGCCAAGCTAAGCAGGGGCGGCCCCGGCGGGCCGCGGATGGGGGAACCGGGGGCAGGCGCTAGGGGCCCTCTGATGCCCCGGAAGTTAAGCAGGGTCGGGGAGGGTCACGGTGCGGATGGGGACGGTGCGGATGCTGGAGCACTGAGGACAGCCGGCAGCAGGGGCTCTGCTCGGGGGGCCCTGATGCCCTGAAAGCTAAGCAGGGTCAGGGAGGGTGAGTGCACGGATGGGAGACCTGTGGGTACCAATTGATCCTGTTGCGAGTCCCCCACCTCTAAACTGAGTGTTTTCTTCCCCCGCAAAGTGAAGTCAGTGTCCTTCCGGGGCCGGAGACTACTAGGGCAGGACCTGCCGGTGCCCACCGGCTACGTGGGGCTGGTGCTGAAGGAGGATGAGAAGCCCTGCTCGGAGGATGAGGTGAGGCTCCCCCAAGGCAGAGACACCCCCCCCCATCTGCCAGGAGCAGGACTCGAACCCGGACTCTGCCAGGCGAACGGGGCACTCTGCTTCTCTGGAAGCTAAGCAGGGCCTGGGAGGGTCGAGGGGCAGATGGGGGACCCCACATGACACCCCCCTGCCCCCAGGAGCGGCGGGTGCACGTCAAGTCAACCTTCACGGAGCTGACGGCCTGGACCCGGGAGCAGGCGCCCAGCGCCGACGACGCCCTGCAGGGGGCACTGGGCTGGCCCCACATCGCCCAGGCCGTGAGTACAGGGGGCCATAACACCCCACTGGGTGGGTAGGCCCTGCCCCGCCCTACTGGGCTGCCAAGCCCTGCCTCCCATCACCCCATTTACACCCCTAGCTCAGTCCCCACTGGGGTCCTCCCAGCACTGGGAAAGGACCCAGGCCTCTGGCCTCCCAGTCCCCAGCCCCATAATACACTGGGCAGGGATGGACCCCATCCCCAGGCCTACTGTTACTAATATAGGCTCTATCATAATATACCTAATAGCAGCCCCATTGCCCTGGCCTTACCCTCATGCATTGACTAGCAGCACCATGAATAGCATACCCACTGGGACTCCCATAATACACTAAATAGCAGCACTTTATAGCTCCCCCGTTACCATAATAGACTTAACACCACCCAGCCACATTACCATCATGTACCTAATGGCTGTGTCTTATTTTACCCTTCCCCCCTGACATCACAATATACTTCACTGCTGTCTCCACCCCGCCCCCAACCTTTCCTGGTATTGTTGTAATATACCTAATATTGGCACTCTTCTTTCCACAATACACCTAATAGCAGCACCTCTCCCAGCTGGGGGGTGGACGATTGTTGACTACTCTGCTTTTTCACTGCAGATCCATGCGCCGGTAGCAGATGAGGAGGGGCCCTGAGAGGCCCCGGAGAAGAGGCACCATTTAGGGCTGGGTTGGGTTTTTTTGGGGGGGGGGCAGGGGTCTTGGAGACCCCAGGTCTTTGCTGGTAATACACAGAGCTCTGAGGCACCAGTGTGGTCCATGTGGTGATTGCTGGAGCAAGGGCAGGGTGACTGGGGGGGTGGGAGGGGGTTTCAGCAGTGTTGTGTGTGGGGGTGAGTACTGGGGCGGTGGGCTTTGTTTTTCTGATGCCTGGCAGCACTCCCCCCTCGGGTGTCGCAGTTTCCACCCAGCAGCAGGGGAAACTGAGGCAGGGAGGCTACAGCCCAGCCCAGACGAGCCTGGGAGAAGGGGCCCAAGTGTCCTGGCTGGAACACCAGAGTCCTGCCTCCTTCCCGCTGCTGGGCTAAGAGCCTCCCCCCTCTGACCCACCACTGGGAAGGAAGCCAGGTGTCCCGCTCCCAGCACCCCCCACACAGAGCTGGAGAGAACTCAGGCAGCCGGGCTCCATGTCCCTCCCTGCTCTTAACCCCCCAGTCACTCCCCTCCCAGAGCTGGAGGGAACCCAAGCCTCAGAGCTCCTAAACCTCCTACTCAGCTGAGTCCTAAATGGAGAGATCGCTCCAGTCATGAAGGACTTGACTGGCAGGGGCTGGGATGCCTGGGTCCTCCACCTTCCCATGACCGCCCCCATCCTCACCCCTTCTGTGCCTCAGTTTCCCCCACATATCTCCCATTCCCCTAGCACCCTGCAGCTCCCAGCACAGGGGCCAGGGCCCTTCTCTCAACAGGGGGCAGCACCATGCTGGTTCCCTCCCCACAATCCTGCGCTTCTGTGGGGGGAGGGACTCAGACTGCTGCAGGGGCCTGCTGTTATGTGCCCCCCTTCCTTGTACACAGCTTCCGGTTCTGTCCGACTTTAATCCAGGATCTTTTATCAAAACATTTAAAGGGGTGGGGGAAACATCACAGGGCGCCACCTGGACGCTGGGGTCCCCATGTCAGGGGGCTTGTGCGTTGGCAGGCCTGCTGGGGGGCCAGGCCAGAGTCCTATATACAATGGGTGATGGGGGGAGCTGTGCCCCTGATGGAGGTGCGGTCTCCTAGCCCCTCCCCCTGCCAGGAGGGGCGGGGCCTCACCACTTGCCCCGCTTGCTCCAGTCCTTGGGGGTGAAGTGCAAGCACTTGGAGTCGATGCGCAGGATGCGCTTGAGCATGGCACGCTCGTGCCCATCCACGATGTCCTCTGAGAGCGTCAGGATGTACTGGCCCTTTAAGGCAGAAGGTAAGGCTGAAACCCAGCCATCCGGCTCCCAAACTGCACCCCAGACCCAGCGCGCATACCCGCTGATCCACCAGCCCCTGGGGAGGACCCAGGGGTCCAGCCTCCCAGCCGCTCCCCCTCCCTGCCCAGTGCAGGGAAGGAACCCAGGTGTCCCAGCGCCTTACCCCACCAGCATGGAGCTAGTATCAAATCCCCTATTGCCCTCCCTGGGCAGGCCCTGCCCCTGGTAAGCCCCACCCCTTGGGGACCTTGTAGTAGTTGATGAGGTTCAGGTACTGCAGGGTGGAGATGACGTCCTCCTTCTTGATGCTGGTGATCTCACTGATCTCACTGCAGAGGGGGAAGGGGAGCCGTGAAGAGGGGGGTGTTCTCTGGGGGTGCTAGCAGGCTACAGGCATTTTCCCAGCCTGCTCTGGGGCCAGACACCCACATTTCAGGTCACAGGTGCAATGTGGGCCCCAGACAGCGTTAACTCCAGTCCCTACTGATGGCTAGGGTGGAGTAGCGGCTCTGACTCCTACCAGTAAACTGACACAGTGGGTGTTAACTCTGACCCCTGATGAGCTGATGTGATGGGCCACTAACTGACCCCTACCAATAAGCTGAGGGTCCTGGGCCGTTGATACTGACCCCTACTGACGAACTGATGCAATGGGCCGTGAACTCCGACCCCTGCCGAGAAGCTGAAGGTGCTGTGCTGTTGACTCTGACCGCTCCTAATGACCCAGTATGAACCGTGGTAACCAGACGCAACATGACAATCACTCTGATCCCTACTGAGGGCACAGTGTGGTGGGTGTTAACAGTGGTGCCTACTGATGATGGAGCGCATCATACGCGTTAACTCGCCCCTACCGATCAAAAGCCGTGTCATTCCTTGCTTGTGGGTGGGGGCATGGCCCGAGTCCACCAATCAGGGAAGCAGCACTCACTTGATGGTGATCTGGGGTCTCTCCCCATTTTCGGACTTCAGGTTCATGAGGATCTCCAGGATGGTCTGGGACCAGTAGCTGCGGTAGGAGAGAAGCCCCAAGTCCGACAGTGGCTTTTCGGGGGTGCCTGTTTTCCCTTCCACCTTGGACAGCTCATAACCTGTTGGAAGAGAAGGGGGGTGGAAATGGGATAAGAGGGGGATGGGCAGAAAGAGTCGGGGGGAGGGGTGGGGCAGGGCAACTTACTGAACTCAATGAGAAGCTTCCCATAGCCACGGCGCTGGTAGGGGGGCAGCGTGAGGATGCAGGCCACGTTGTAGTCCTCCGTGGACTCCTTCTCCTGTGGGGTGGGGCAGCTCCGTCAGAGGGGGCTGGGGGATACACGGCCTCCTGGGAGGCACCTGGCTTTAGGGGGTGTCAGGGCTGGGGATACAAGGATATATGAGGCGGCTGGCTCTGGAGTGGAGCAGGTGAGCAGCTAAGTATAACTGCCTCTGGGGTGGGGCATTAGGGAGACTGGGGATACAAGGCTACTGTGCAGCTGCCTCTGGGGGGCATGTGTCAGCAGCTGAGTAGAACAGATGCGGCCACTCTGAGGGGTGTGTCGGGGCTGGAGACACGAGGCCCCGGGCTGGGATACGGCCGGCTCTGGGGTGGGATGGCACATGGGGCTGACCTTGGAGAAGTAGCCGACAATGTGGAAGCCCTTGCAGTCGTACTCAGTCATGACGTAGAAGAGGAAGGGGTCGGTGTCGTAGTAGAGGGTCTTGTGGTCCAGGAAGCACTTTGCCAGCAGGCACAGGTTCTGGGAGTAGCTCTGGGAAAGGGACACGCAGGGAGTTGGGGGTTGGAGGGCAAGACCTGGGCTCCCAACACTCCCCCTCCCCTTCCAGAGCTGGAACGAACCCATGCATCCGGGCTACCAGCCCCGATCTGCCCCTTACCTTGTTTTTCCGCCCGTCTATCTCAAAGAAGGAGATGGTTCCCTTGCGGTAGATCTCGTTGCCGGGTGGGTGCCGTAGGTCACACTTGGTCTGTGAAGGACGAAGAGATGATATACGGCTGGTTCTGGGGTGCGATGCCCTTGGCCAGTGCCAAGATGCAGCTGGCTCTGGGGTGCAGTAGTGGGGGCTAAGTATGACAACTGCAGCTGGTTCTGGGAAGGGGCATGTTAGCCAAGTGTAACATGCAGCTGGCTCTGGGGTGGGGTGTGTCATGGCTGAGTAGGATGGAGATGGGGCTGGGTATCAGGGATGTGTATAATAGATTCAACTGGTTCTTGGGGCTCAGCATCAGGGGCTGTGTAACAGGCTGTGGCTGGCTCTGTGGAGTGCCTATGCTCAGTATAACAGGCTGCAGCCAGCTCTGGGAGTGCTGGGTGTAACAAATGGGGCTGGCTCTGGGTGCAGTGTGACTGAGTGTAACAGATGCAGCTGGCTCTAGCGGGTGCTGGGGCCTGAGTATAACGGGCTGTGAGTGGTTCTGGGGGCTGAGTATAAGACCTGCTTTGAGGGGGTCTGGGGCTGGGTATAACAGACTGCGGCTAGCTCTGGGGGGTGAAACTGGGCTAGGTATAATGGATGCGGCTTGCTCTGAGCAGCGCACTGGGCTGGGTATAACGGATGCAGTTGGCTCCAGGGGACACCAAGGGCTGAGTATAACAGACTGCAGCCAGCTCTGGAGGGCACTGAACTGGGTGTAACAGATGCAGCTGGCTCTGGGGGGTGCTGGGCTGGGTACAGCAGGCTGCAGTTGGCTTTGGGGTGGGCACAGTTTGGGTATAACAGGTGCGGCTGGCTCTGGGCTGGGGCACATACGTACCAGGTGCCTCTGAAGGCACTTGAGGCTCTTGCCATACTTGAGGCAGAACTCGCAGAGGTAGAGCACGGGCAGAGCTGTCAGCTCCTGGGGGTAGGGCGAGAAGTACCAGGGCTTGAGGCGGTGCCGGCCCAGCTCGATGCACTCAATGTTCTTCATGCGGGTGATGATGTCGTCGTGGCTCCGGTCCGACACCAGGCTGCCCGTCATGCGCGGGGCTGAGGGGATCCCGTCCGAGCTGTCCTGGGAGTCCTGGGGTTGAGGAGGGGAGAGCGGGGAGTTAGAGCAGACCCCAAACTCCCACTGACTTGGGGTAGGGAGGGCACGATGCTGCTTTTTGAATGGGGAAGCTGAGGCATGGAAGGCTGCAGTGAGCTGGAGTGAGGGGCTGGGACAGCGTGTGAACCCAGGCATCCGGGCTCCCTGCTCCACCCCTCCAGCCCCTGCTCCCTTCCCCCAGCTGGAGAGAACCAGGCATCCAGGCTCCCAGCGCCCTCTGCTCTAACCCTCCAGACCCAAGTCCTCTCCGAGGTAGAGGGAACTCTGGCATCCAGCCCTCCCTGCTCTAACCCCTGGCCCCACACTTCTCACCTAGAGCAGGGAGAGAACCCAGGTGTCTGGGGCACCTACCTCATCCGTGCCTAGGCAGTTAGACTTCCGCTTCCGGCCGGGCTGGGCAGCCACAGCTCTCCTGGCCGAGCCGTTCTGGAAGAGGTTGTGGGGGCGGGGTAAAAGGAGGGCATCAGGGCTGCTCCTGCGTCCATTACACAGCTCTGATCAGGCTCCTGTCAGACTCAGGCAGGGCTCCACTTGAGGCCATGCCCCCACTTCGGGACCTTTCAGCAGTACCCCAAGATCATCTACTCGTCCTGTGTGTCCCCCCCCCCCCCCCCCCCACC